TATACTGACATACAGACATACAGGCATACATACATACTGACAGACATACTGACAGACAGACATGCTGACATACATACTGACATACATACAGACAGACATACATGCTGACAGACATACAGACATACTGAAATACATACTTCCAGACATACATACTTCCAGACATACAAACATCAAATTTTTCAGCCACTCTCCTGTCTCTTACTTTTTCCATGCAAGAAGGTGGCTGGGGCTGATAGGAGTTGGCATGGCTCTCCCTCTTCACGACCTGGCTGTCTCTCCTCCCACGCAGAGTGAGCTGAGAGGAAGTGACCGCCCATCACTTCCTCCCAGACGCACTTGTGGTGCGGCTTAAATTTTTTTTAAAGGTTGCACTATTAAACAGCGACAGCACTGACCAGGCCCCTAAAAATAGAGGGGCCCTATCAGCGTGCGGGCCTGGTGCAGCTGCACTGGCGGCAGTTCTGCTGCTACACAAGGGGGGTCATGGTTGTCACCCCCTGATGGCGGCCCTGCTCACAGATGCACAACTTGACACACACACTCATTCTCATACTCATACATATACACACACACACACTTATACATAAACACAAACAAGTGATATTTTTAATATCTCCAGCCTCCTGTTAGCTTACCTTGTGTGTCTAGGAGGGTGGCTTGGAGTCCTGCGGCTGCTGCTGGTGGTAGTGAGGTCTGGAGCTCTTCGTGCTCCTCTCCCCTCATGCTGTGGCTGCCTCCTCTGCCTCCAGCGCTGTCTCCCTGCATGACACTGGGAGGAAGTGACGGGCTGTCACTCCCTTCCAGCTGGCTGACCTAACAGGTGCCCGGTCGCGGTCTTAAAGGAATGCGGCAACTGACCGGGCCCCTGTTTAGTAGTAATGTTTTCCTGGTGCAATAATCATAGCACGGGGAACATTCTGCGGCAACCCTGTGTGCCTGTCGCGGCGCCCTTTTGGGAACACACTTTGGGAGCCACTGGCTTAGACGCATTCCTTAATTCCCTCCTCCCCAATGAGAATTAACTTGTTCGATATCAAAGAACAAACCACTACTGTCACCATTATAGCATTCGGCAAAATGTCTATACATTATGATTTAAACATCTTCTCCTAATATTAACAATATGTTCTCTAATTCTTTTTTTTTTTTTTTTAAATCTTGATAATTTTCCTACATACTGGTAACCACACAGACAAGTTACCATATGAATTATCATTATCATGTTACACGAAATGAATTTTATTTTGTGTTCTTTGTGAGTGTTAAAAGATTTAAATTTTAATCACTTTTCTAGTATTTAATTTACATTCCATGCAGTCCCCACAATAATAAAAAAAAACTCTTATTCCTTAAAAAAAATTCATTCATATGTGTCTCTATCTATAAAACCATATCTCCTACCTTTCTCCTACAAATTTAGCAATATTATTATCCTGTCTTCAAATATTCCAGTTTTTGTTTATAATCTTGTACATATAATTATAATCTGAAGTTTAATATACGTGGAATTTCTTTAGTCTTTTCCTGTTATTTTTGTTCTATGATCCTAGCTTGTAGATGTAGTGCAGATATTGTTATTACAACTGAAATAAAAAATAAGTGTAATTTCTTTAGTCTCCTCCTTTTGTTTTGTACAATGATCCCGTTTGTGGATATAGTGTAGCTTTGCAAGTGGGATATGGTGGAAGGTCTCATGGACATAAAAGGAGAACATAATAAAATAATATAGTGTAGTATGTCTGCAGTGAGCTATTTTGTTTGAAGTTAAGTTGATATACACTCAAATTTTTTGGAATGGCTCCTCAGGTATAGTGTGGAGTGCTATGATCCCCACTCAAGGATATGTGGTTGGTGCAGTCCTCTCTGTAGAGATATGTAATGAGAATATAAAACAATATAGTGCCCACCATTGTGTGAGAGTATTGAAAAATATCAATCCCAGAAAGTATATGGAGTTCCAGAGGTAAGTAAGTAAGGTTCACTTTGAACACTAAAGCCTAGAAAAAAAAACCTTTAAATTTTTTTGTAAATTAAATTTTTATTAACATTTTCGTTGAGCTTCTTGTTACTTGTTAAGTTGTAGGAAAGAGGTAGAACTCGCAGGTCCTTGGCGTGCAAATATACTTCGACCAGCTAGCCACGCTTTGAGAGGCAAATCAAATAGTTAAGAGAAAGCAATCTGTACAGTGCATCATAAATATAGTGAAGGTTACAAACAGGGCTGACGCTTCCTATAAGGTGACCTAGGCAGCCGCCTAGGGCACCACATAGGAGGGGGCACCCCGAGCCCTCATCGCCAGCCCCTCTAATGCTGCAACCATCTGAGCACACTATAGAAGGCATATGAGGGAGAGGGGGTGAGGAGAACGTGGGGGGAAGAGACCACTAAGGGAGGGGGGGGGTGGAGGAGAGACCACCATGGGACAGGGGTGAGAAGAGACCACTATGGGAGGGTAGTAATGAAGTGGTTGTGTTGTCTATAGCCTGTCCCTGCAGGCTTTTTAATGTAAACACACACTGTGTGCAGCACTGGTGTTAGTTCATATGGGTGGGGCATTGTGATGGCATTGCTTTGCTCAGCATGCTTTGGAAATCTGGGCACTATGCTGCTACTAGAAAATGTGTCCATATGTCTAGATATGTTTGTGAGTGGCCCTGTGCTGTGAACGTCAAGTCAGGTTTTCTCAAACCAGGTCGTTTAAGGGGGGGAGGAGGTGTCTGTCTTTCAATATAGGGGCAAGATACGTTTTGCTGTTTTCAGTATCCATATAGTCACATATTTCTTATATTTGGCTGTCGAGGTCGTAGTGTGGTGTAGGAGGTATGTGGTAGGTTTTAAAGGGGGGGAGGTTGCCAGAGAACTTTTGTAGCACCCTACTGATGATTTGCCAGTAGGGGACAACTTTTGGGCATTCCCACCATATGTGCAGGAATGTGCCCGCCCCGGTGTGGCATCGCCAGCACCTGTCACTTAGGTTTGGGATCATTTTCTGCAGGGTTTGCAGGGTTCTATACCATAGGGTCAAATTTTGTATGCCATCTCTTGAGTTTGAGTTCCTAGTGCACAATGGTGCGTAAGGTCACATATTTTGGTCCATTGTTGTTCTGTGAAAATGTCACCTGTCATCGTTTCCCATTTTTCCATGTAAGAAGGTGGTGGGAGGTTCCTATTGTGTAATAATACACAGTGTAGGTGGGAGATGGCGTGTATGAGCAGGTCCGGGTCAAGTCCCATGCTCTCAAATGGGGTGTTGTCCCTTGCCTCCCGGTGTGGTATGAACCCCACTAGGTCAGGTTTCACCAGGGATGGCAGGTGAGGCATTAGCCTGGAGGCCAGAATTTTAGCAAAGAGCTTTATGTCGCAATTCAGTAGGGAGATAGGCCGGTAGTTGGCACAATGCTCTGTGTCCTTGCCCTCTTTAGGTATCAGGGCTGCTTGCCTCTAGCGTCTGGGAAGTAAGTTTCTTACCCTTCGTCAACGAATTATAGGAAATGTGGACATAGGACATCTGAGAACAGTTTGTATTTTTGCATCGACAGAGAGTAAAATTGCATTGCATAAGGTGTGTTATAAGTAGTATTTTACAGAATTGGAAAAGGGTAGGTTAGACGCATATATATACAGTATATCGACAATCTGTGTTGAGCTTGTTTACGGTCTGTCAGATTTTTAGTTTAACGAACACAAAAGATAAAGTAGTAACATAATTCAACTTAGAAACGATTGGCTCTGTGATACCTGAGGGGTCTTTTTTTCTTTTCATATGTATGAGTGGCCGGGCCTTTTAGAGAGTGGGAGAGTATGGGTTTCTGTGTAGCAGTCTGGCGATTAGAGAGCTATATTGCTCCCATAGTGCCCATACTTTGTTAAAAGTAGCAGTGGTGTTACAGACCTGCGCAGTGAGCTTGTCCATGAGGTAGTTGTCCCTGATTTTCAGGAGCACTATAGATATGTGCAGCAGCTCAGGGCTAGCCCACTGTTGTGTCAGAGCTCTTCTGGCCACTAGTTATTCCATTTAATATTTTTTGCGCGTGTCTGTTAAGGCCATCTGTGGGTCTGGAGAGCAGACATCCCCATGGGTCTAGCTCTAATCTCCTCTGCGTCCACCACTTTCCCCCAATATTCCTTCACTTTTGGACACTGCCACCACATGTTGATATAGCTATCCTTTTCTCCACATAGATGCCAGCAGGTATCAGTGGGACTCACCCTCATGTGACACTGTTTAACCAGTGTTGTGTACCACCTAAAGAGTATTTTATAGCTTTACTCTTGCAGCGTCACGCACATTGATACTTTGGTGCACGCTTCCCATATTTCTCCTGCCCGTCAGTTCCCTCAAGAACCTTCCCCAGGTCAGCCTCCCACTGGTTAGTGTATCTGAGAGTTCCCCATTCCCCTGCCTCTGAGCTAATGTGTAGGTACAGTAGAGTGATTTGTTTGGTCTGTGTTGTTTCTTCATAGCACATTTTCTCAAAAAAATTTTAGTTTGTGTTGTGCTGCCTTATCTTTGTAGTCCTGTGGCCTTTATACCCTTAAAAATTCTGGCCCCTTCATTCCCGGGGGGGACGCTCTATTTCTGAGGACTGGAGTTAGTGGCAATGGGTCGTTACTCAAAGCATATTTTAGCTCTACTTGGTCCCATAGCTGGAGGAAGTTAAGGACGGCCGGGCAGCTCATTCATAAAATATTTTTTGCATCTTAGGGACCCATAAGTAGAATTGGGGAGAATAGTCTCGGTAGGATGTTCATTTTTATGCAATATTACCGTCCCAGCCATGAGATGGGGTTTTCCGTCCATCTCTCTAGGTCACTTATGAAGGCATAGATTAATGGCGTATAGTTTCTCACAACGAGGGAATCTGGGTCCTCTGTTAAGGTGACACCTAGGTATTTAAATTCCTTTGTCTCTATCTTAAAGTGGTAGGTCTGTTTGATTACGGCCGTGTCCGGAGTCGAGAGATGAAAGGGCATTGCCACTGTTTTGGAACAGTTTATTTTATACTCGCTGACCCAGTGGCAAGCTCCGCACTGGGTCAGCGAGTGTGAGCAGGACATTGTTCACGTACACTGAGACCCTAAAGGGTTTGTGTGCTAGTTCAATGCCTCGGATCTCTGGATCAGACCTAATGGCCAGGAGCAGTGGTTCGAGGTTGACTGCAAACAGCAGTGGTGAGAATGAGTAACCCTGCCGTGTACCGCGGCTTAAGGGGACGGGGGTCTTGGGTACCCCAGTGTTGAGTGTTTGTGCTCTCAGGTCTGTGTATAGAGCTTTAATCGCGGTGCAGAAGGGAGCCGGGAAGCCCATCTTGCTCTTTTTTAGCCTGCACCTTCATTTGCTTCCCTCCAAGATACTAAAGAATATTCAGCGATCACGATATTCTACAAAGATATATTTTTTTTTAAACACACAAATCATAAAATAAGAAGAAATTCCAGCCTTTTACTGACTGTCAATGGTGATTATGCTGAGTATAATGCAGCTAAATTGCCACCACTGACATAAGCTTTTAGTAAGTCCTCAAAGACTCGATCCGTCTTCATAAGTTTTGCGGGATCCTCCAATACCTACCCAACATTTGTCACTCCATTCGTCTACATATTTTGCCTTCCTGTTTCATCAGGACTGACAAATAATGGCTGTTATTTTGGTATTGTGATTTCCTAGGAGGGATATGAACTGTAAACATTCTGTATTTTACCTATTTGGTTTCATTGCAGTTTGGTAGAGGACCAGTTTGAATTGTACAAATTTAATATCAGAAATTTGGTTTGTTAATGACATTCTGACACCTATTTAATTCTCTGTAATTGAGGTTCAGATACTTCTTGGGTGCCAACTGTGTTTACATCTCTGCCACTGAAAAATATATAAAAGGTTATTTTCTAAAGTGAGATTGCAAAGTGAATTTCAAATTTCCAATTGTAAGTGAATTTCAAATTTAAGGCAGGAGTAGCTGAACTGAAAGCATAGCTGATTTAAGAGAGTTTTACCAGATCAGCTATTCTTAACCTTAAATGTAAAATTTGCTTTGAATTTACTTTAAATTCCAACTTTAGTAAATAGCTTTGTAAAGTTAGATATCCGATTTGAACTGAATTTGTAACTTCACAAAATCATATAGCATAATAAACAGCTGGTCAGAAGCATAAAATATTTCCCAGTTCCGTTTTTGTGACCAGGATGGCTGAGAGGAAATGCATCAATACTGAAGAAATGAGACGTGGGCCTAAGACTAAATTTGGAACTGCATGGAGAAATAAGAACATATTTCATAAGCTATCAAAGCTCATGCATTAAAGAAGGATACAGATTTGTTTGTCCATATCAAATATAAATAAGGGTATGTATGTTTAAAGGGACATTCCACTTCCCAAATAAAAAATAAATGAAAATAACTGTTTAGTAGATATACCCAAAAAGAAAACTTGCATCCATTTAATTAAAGTGCCACTATAGGCACCAAGACCACTTCAGCTCAATGAACTGGTCTTGGTGCGAGGTCCATCTAGGGTTATTCCTGCAGCTGTAAACATAGCAGTTTCAGGGAAACTGCTATGTTTATATTAGGGTTAATCCAGCCTCTAGTGGCTGTCTCATTGACAGCTGCTAGAGGCGCTTCCCACTGTGAAAATCACAGTGAGAAGACGCTGACATCCATAGGAAAGCATTGAGAAATGCTTTCCTATTAACTGATTGAATGCGCACGTGGCTCTTTCTGCGCATGCACATTCAGCGCTGACATCGGAAGAGGGAGGAGATTTCCCTGGCTCCGAGGGAACCCGGAGCTGGAGAAAGGTAAGTGATTAACTCCTTCTCCCCCTTCAGCCTGGCGGGAGTGGGACCCTGAAAGTGGGGGGGACCTAAAGACCCTATAGTGCCAGGAAAACAAGTTTGTTTTCCTGGCGTTATAGTGGTCCTTTAAGCATTTTTTAATTGGAGTTATATCTAAAAACAGCTTGTAAAACATGCAGATCTCTTGTATGCTACTGTTGCAAGTCTTCCTCTTTTAATCCAGTACAGACTCTATTTGGCTGTCCGATCATGAACTTCCCAATGTAGCTCAATGAGCTGTCCTTGCAAGGCAGGTGCTCTGGGCAATTGCTGCCTCATGACTTCAGTGCAAATAAGCTAACCAAAATAGGAAGTAACAGGGCATTTTGTCTGCTTGATAAGCCAGGAAAGTATAACCAACATAATTTATTAAAGTGTCAATCTCTATTGAAATCTGCACTATTCCCAAAAGATGAAATAAGACACACTCTGCACACAAAGCTTTTCAGCATACTACTGTGTTTTAGGGGTCTTGGGTATCCCTTTAAACATTGCTGCTTAAATGTGAATTTCATTTTATAAAAGTACATTTAAAAAAAAAAAAAACATTTAAATGTGTGCTTAGAAAATATCTTTACATTTCAACAGGGTGGACACATTTTATAAATTAATAGATTGAGTTAATAAAGGGACATTACAGTTACCAGAACAACTAGCTACTAGAGGTACATCCTTAGTTAGAGCTTCACAATGTGCAACAATGATGTTCAGCTGAACACTTGCCATAGAGATTCAATGCATCTCTATAACAATATGATTGGTGTAGCGCAGCATTTTGCCTTGCATGCACAATAGCTGCTTAAACTTGACAGGCGCATCGTCGCCATATGGGCTGGTGGAATAAAAGACCCCACCTTAACATCTACCAAAAAAAACATCCCAGGTGCCCTTCTCCCCCTTTAAGGGCTACCTCAGCACCACAGTGCACCACCCGGCCCAGGAGCCTCGCCGCCATGTGCCCGGCCAGCCGGCCCCAGTCCTGAGCTCCCCAGTCTCAAGTGCCATCACCTCCATGTCACCCTGCACGGCCTCCCCCAGGACCTGGTCCAGACTTAACGCTGAGGGGGTCTCCTGCTTCTTGCTGGGCAGCTCTGGCCGCCGCCATCCGAAGGCCCAGCTGCCGCCAGCACGGATTGGAGCCTTGCCGCCATCCCCTGTGGGTCACCTGTCCTGGTAGCCTCATGGATCCCTTTCAGCAGCTGATCCACTGCCTCCATCCTGAAAGACAAAGAAGAAACCCCACAAGGCCCAAAAAGTGGACACAAAGTGCACACAAATTTAGCCCAGTGAGTAAATTAGAATGAGGGAATCCAAAATGGCTAAGTATTTATACTGTATCAGCTCACTAGCTAAATTGCTTAATCACAATCCACTTCTCACTTCTAGCTCTGTCAGGGCCCTATCCACTAAGCTGTGCTCATTCCTTGGGGCTACATTTCTATAAGAAAGTATTGGATTGTCTGAGATCATCAAATTTGATGAGCTCAATCAAGGAGGCAGAGCCAGCCTTGGCGAGACCAATGCAGCGTGGGGAAAAAATGTGAGTAAACTACATTTTTAAAGTAAGGAGAGAGCAGCCAGGCACCTAAATTGTACTTTTAAAACTATGAGTGTCAGGAAAATGTTTGTTTTCCTGGCACTATAGTGTTTCTTTAAGTACAACATTTGAAGTTGATAATACTTCAAATATTGTATTTATCATGAATACACAATTGTGAAATTTTAAATGCCTTCATCAAACTTGCTTAATTATATAATGGAGAGACTCCAGTGACCTTTCTTGTATTTAAATCTTACATTTCCCACCAGACTAAAAACCTGCATTATAAGTCCTGAACGCATGTGATGTATTTGTGTGTAAGCTGTTTTTAGAACTGTAGAAAAATTACACAAGCACATGGCAAAGCAGTTTCATTGTGGAGCATTGCAATTGCTGCTATAATTCAGTTGAGGATTGCACAAATTAATGCACCATAGAAAATTTGTCACATTGAAAAGCCTTTAGGCACAAATTGAAACTGCCAGTCTATGCTCAACCATCAAAGTAATCCTTTAAACATTGTTACTAGGTCAAACTCTTTTGAAATATAAAATCTGCTAAATTGTCCAAACTGATTTCTATTTTTAATCTGTGTAGCAATAGCATGTAGCTATTATCTGTCCACTCCATGATTCATTCAAGACTGCAGGAAATTATATTTCAAGGTTTCACAATAGCCGATATTCCTTCTTGAAGATGTGTTGAGTAATGTATGTACATGTATGTCTTTTATATGTTAATAATGTGTCAATCATTTTTTTTTAAAAATCACTCCCTCTATTTCTTTTTCTTGGATGTCATTTTTTTATTTAAAAAAAAAAAAAAAAACACTCCATGAACTGTGGCTATGGTGCTAGAAGTGTCCTTGTGTGCCCCATTATGACTAGTTGCACTGTTTAGTAATGGCTTCTTGTCTCAGAGGCACATCTTCCCCTTCCTTTTAGCCTTCAGGACAGTCAGATGCTTCTGCAGTGCAGGCCCAGTCAAGATGAAAAGTTACTAAACAATGCTTGCAGTGTTTCTTTAAATAGTGGAGTACCGTCTGTGTCTCAAAAGAACAGTTTAGTGAGTCTTCGAAAAAGAGTACAGATCACCTTATTTGAACATAAATTGAGGTTATTAACTAAAAGTTAGAATAAATGCTAAATTTGCAAAATCTACCGTATTTTAATATATTTGTGATTGTATAATTTTTTTCCATCAATTTGTATGTTTATTGAAAAATTCCAGAAATACAATGAAAAGAAGCAAACTATAATAGTGCAGTAAAACACCAAATACAGCAATATGGATGTTTGCAGAGAAAATTATACAAAGATATAACAGCGGCAAATAAATTAGATTAAACATACAGTAAGATGAAATGTGGGTAACAAAAAGATAAAAAGGAAAGTAAAGCAGAGCGAATGCACAAGGGGATTCTCAGAACCCTGAATGTGCTACAGGATCTAATACATAGTTATTGGTGAGGTGCGGTTCTCTGCATCCAGATCCCAACATATACACATTAACATTGCAGAATGAATACACACACAATTGTAGAGCAAACTCAGCAGTATTCAAGTTAATTAGATCAATTATTAGATTTGATTAGTTGAGGAATATGTGCCATAGCTGACAAAGTTCAAATAAAAATTTTTCCAAGGTAAAGTCAAGAGAAATTTGATAAATCATTTCTTGTTCTGTAGGATTGGAAGTGGTAGACCAACAATACTAATACTTTTGCTACAACCAAGATCTGAAAAAAAAATATTTCCAACAGAGCTTGTGTCCACTGAAAGCTTAAGCCACATATACGTTACTGATAACATCTTCCAATAACATTTTATTTAAAGGCAGATCTACACTATACAAAGCATACTGCCTACATCCAAGTGACACCTGCAACACATGGGATCAGCAGATGCAACAGTGGGAGCTAATCTAGCTGGAA